CTGCTTCCTTCACTGCTTCCTTCACTGCTTCCTTCACTGCTTCCTTCACTGCTTCCTTCACTGCACGTTTCCAAACATTTCACTCTGACAGTGGCGGGCATGGTTCTGTTAATCCGCTAGTAGTGGCTCTAACTTTCCATGTAGCAGATTTTGAAAACCTTTAGCGAAATTTAATTCCGGTAAATTCAAGTCTGTAATTTTTTTTAGCCAGTTCTCCTCACTAAAATCATCCAGGACAATGGTGATTTACACCGAGCGATGCTATGCAGAGCTAGGCACCACCTGATGATGTCACCACCCTCGCAGTGCTCCCCCCCTCCACAATCTTTGAGTCATGGTGTCAGTCTACAGCCAATGACAAGAGACCAGCAAAACAGGAAAATAACATGAAAATCCCATTTTCACACTCAGAAACATGGCACACACAATTCCTACCCAGCATGCTTTGCAACGCTCACACTGTCTCTGGGACGTGACTCTCTCACATGATTTCACAAATCTTTAATACAAACAGATTTAATACAGAGACTATATTGATGATGATGATGATGAAGCTTTGTAGTTCGTTTAAAAAATAGTTAACAACAAAGAGGATCGCCCAAGTGAGTTTATTCGTTCAAGTAAATGATACGAGGGAGACGTCCGACACACTTTGAATGCATCACTCTGCTTCAGCGCAGTGGAGTTCTGCTCCGGTTCTTTAGTTCTGATGGACCGGATTCATTTCTGTAAGCTCGTGTCTGAACGGAACATGGACGCTTTACTTGTGATTTATGAACCGTTTTGATTTGTGTTCATTTATAACCCAACAAAAAGTGCCAGGTCGTCCGGACGGTTGGATTTGGTACCTGGATGACTGAGCATGAACTTTGTTCACTTTGGAGTTAGTTCCTGCACATTTTAAAAACCTGTTGAGTGGTTTAGCGTTAGCTAATATTTTAGTTTGCGAATTAGTGTCAAGTCAAATTTATTTTTAAAGCATTTTAAAAACAGCAGCTGTTACCAAAGTGTTTAACAAAAATAAATTAATGGCAGTAATTTAAAGAAAAATAATAAAAAAAATGTATTAAAATCATCAAAAGAAGAAATAAAAGCACAGAACAGTGAAAGACTAAATCAGATGACACTGGTAAAAGTGAGTGAAAACAACAGATGTGCTTTAAGAGATTTAAAAACAGGAAGTGAAGGGGCCTGTCTAATGTGGGGGGGGGGGGGGGGGGCAGATTGTTCCAGCTTAGAGCCACAACTGAAAGAGCATGATCTTCTCTGAACTTCAACCAGAAGCAGCTGATCAGATGATCTCAGTGCCCGAGAAGGAATACGGTTGAAGTAGATCAGAGAGATACGAGGGTGCACGTCATTAAAGGTCATTAAAGGTCATTAAAGGTCAACAGGAGAATTTTAAAATTCTCTTCTGGCATGTACAGGGTGTCAGCGAAAGGAGGACACAACTGGTGAAATATGCTCAAACCTATGAGTTCCAGCTGAGCTGCAGCATCTTGGGACGAGCTGGAGGCGTGAAGGGAGACCTGCTGACCCCCCAACATAAAGCAGGTTACTGTAGTCTAGATGGTTGTAATGAAGGCATGGACTATTGATCAGGGTCAGATCGGGTCAACACTGCCTTAACTGGAAGACACGTCTCTGCAGAAGAGTTCTTCTGTTAGTGGTTAGTTGTGCCCCCACTGATCTGACTTAAACCCTGAATAAACTTCATTTCATGAAAACACTTAGATACTTGGGACCTCAGTACATGTGAGGTCCTAAACGTTTTCTCATGAACTTACCGGTACGTTTACTTACTACGGTACTAAGTCACATGGTGTCGTAGATTTGAAGTCAAGATTGTATCTTCTGTTGTGACGAGGCAGACCTGAACCTGGAAGTTGTTGTTTTTTAAACTTTGGATTAGGATATAGCTGCAAACTATGTCTGATTAGTGAAAGTCATGAAAACTGTTTTAATAGTAGTCATTAAAGCCAGACACGTTTTCTCTGAAGTTAGACCATGAAGGTGCCACATTGTGCAGTGAGGGCCTTCAAATGGTCCCTATTCAGAGGTCTCGGGTTAAACACCGACAGGAGGTTTGGGTCGCACCGTAGCAAGGCGTTTCTTCAACTCATCACTTGGTGTTTTGGATCTTTGTTTGTCGGTCAGGTGCTTCACCTTCAACTAAACGTTCATATTTGTGGGGTGTACGCTTCTTTGGGTGACTTCTTAACATGTTTTTGTGGAATATATTCTTTTTCCATTTTCGTCTTTTGGCTCCGTCAGCAGGTCTTTTGTGGCTTTTTATAATAGTTTTTTGTGTGTGGGTGGTTTGAATGGTTTATGGCTCTGGCCTTTTTGACTCTGTTGCCTTTGAATATTTTTCTTTATTTGATCAATTTTTATAGAAACCGTGCATTTGTTCACCTGCCACTTTTTGTCCCTTTGTGTTTCTTTCCTTGTAGGGAGTATTGACAGAGCTCGGAGCTCGTCCTTTCATGAGGTTGGCCGCCAGCGTGAGATGGAGATGAGGGCTGCAGCTGACGAGCCGTCCAACAGCAGCAACAGCGCTGCAGGAGGTGGCAGCACAGTCCTGCAACGCCTCCTCCAGGAGCAAATCAACAGGAATTATGTTCTGCAACAACAACAATCTGGAGGAGGAGGTGGCGGAGTAGCAGGGGGAGGGGGAGGAGGTTATTTGGTACAGGGACAGGTAAGCCCATCTGATGATCATTCCATAACTGCCCACATTGCCCGACAGGAGCCTCAGGGACAAGAACTACAGACGGACAATGGCCTGGAGAAGCTTGGCTCTATCAGAGTGGGAGGAGGAGGTGGGAGCAGTGGAGGAGGAGGCTGTGTGGGGACCTGTGTTGGAGGAGGAGGCACCAATGGTAGTGGAGGTGCTGGGAACAACCTAGGCCAGTGCCCAAACCCAGAAGACCTCCCCACATACGAAGAAGCCAAAGTACAGTCCCAGTACTTTCGTGGCCAAGGTCCCCCACCTCAGGCTCAGCAGCAGAACAGTTCGCCCCAACAGCCCCCGCTGCCCACCTCTGTGCGTAGCACCTTTTATGTCACCGAGCTGAGCGGTGTTAAGGTACGCACTGAGGGTCGACCAACCCTGCAGCGAGTCAGTGGTGCAGGGAAGGTGCACCAGGATGATGGACTAAAGGACCTGAAGCAAGGCCATGTTCGGTCTCTGAGTGAACGGCTGATGCAACTCTCTTTAGCCACTAGTGGTGTGAAGGCCCACCCCCCTGTAAGCAGCACCCCACTGTCACCCCAGCTGCCCCCTCCTGGGCATTCTGGGGACTACTACAAGGCCCAGCATCGCGGCCCTCCTCCAGACTACCCATTTAAAGGAATGGGTTCTCCCGGCAAACGGCAGGAGTCTGCAGGTCACTTTTACCAAGAACTAAGAGGGAGGGAGCACTCGAGGGAGGTCCCAAATGTCCGGTACCAGCCCCCACCTGAGTATGGCTCATTCAGGTAAAACAACACACTGTTTACAGCCAGATGAAGGTGAACATGTGATACCCATGTGTCTTTGTTTTTACTGTCTGCATGTTGAAATAAGGCCATTGCATGGTTTGTAGTCTTCAGAAGTGAAGAGGACAGATCCTGCTGGGCTGGTTCCACACCAGTTAACCTCACAGCAAACAAGCGTCTTAACAGTTATAAATTCCACACACTTTTATTCATCAGGCCAGGACAAGTTGGGGCATGATCTGTCACCAAACATCACAGATCTTGTGAGAACCAAAAACCAGTAATGTTTGTTCTACTTTGACTCTTGATGCTGGTGTTTTTCCCAAAATGACAGTAAACAGACAATTAGAGTTGGAGCCCAACTTGTTTCACCTGTTCATGCCTTTCTTTTGAAATGTCCAAATACTGTGCAAGCCCAATTCTGAAAACGTTGGGGCGTTGCGTAAAGTGTAAATAAAAACACAATGCAATGATTTGCACATCTCATAAACACATACTATCCACAGTGGAATATGGAAGATATCAAATGTTTTTTTGCTTTTTTTTACATTTTTTGGGAAAAAATAAGTTAAATTTGTAATTTAAGGCACCAACGCACCTCAAAACTTGGGACAGGGCAACAAAATGCTGTAAAAGGAAGGAGTTCAAGTAGGAAACAGGTGGAGGAGCTTTTATTGACAACAGGTCTGGACGAGGACTGGGTATTTAAAAAAAGCATTTTAGAGAGGCTTAATGTGTCAGAAGTAAAGATGGGCACATGTCACCAGTCTACAAAAACTGCTTCTAAAATAGTAGAACATTTACTTAATAAAAATATTTAAAAAATAAACCGTCCAGAGGACCTGAATTTGTTGGATTTAAATGGTAAATGGACTGTACTTATATAACTCTTTCCTATTTTATCAAGATACTCAAAGCACCTTATACTACAGACTGTGCCCTCGTTCATTCTACTATTTCTGTACAAAGAAAAATCAGAGCTTCATCACATTCAGACACTGATGGACACATCAGAGGCTATGAGGGGTTCAGTGTCCTGCCCAGGGACACTTCAGCATGTGACTGCTGGTGGATTCGAACCACCAACTCTCACATTGTAGGACGATTGCTCTAACCACTCAGCCACAGATTTACAGAATAATGTTCTTCCATGGAAAATTGACAACACTTATAACATCATATCATCCAAAATTCATAATCTCGTCAAAAGACCAAAAAAAGCTTTGTTAATCTCCAGTGATGATTTTCTCTGCATTTTTCCCATTGCACACGTGGAGCAGAGGGCTGTCATCTAATGTGCTTGGAGAGCAGATGGAGGGTTCAAGAACTTGCTCAAGGGCCCACTGTGGGACACATGAGGGTGGAGGCAAATGTAGGTGCTTCACCTTTCCCATTAAAATATTTTGTGCCAGTCTGGGGATTTGAAGATGCAATCACCAAATCAGGCACTTTTTCTAACCTGTGTGCCACCACTCCCCCAAGATTTCAAGAATCCAAAGAAATCTCAAGTTAGCTCAAAATGCAAAGCTGAAAGAGCATTTTTAATGCTTGTGATCTTCAGGCCACTGCAACAGATCTGATTCTGTTCTGGACATCATGGGCTCAGGGACACTTCCACAAATTATTGTCTGTAAACACAGTTCACTGTGCCGTCCTTACATTCATTCAACCTTTATTTCTACAGGTAAATCCCATTGAGCCTCGAGAATCATTTACAAGAGAGACCTGACTTCAACAAAGAATGATGACAACAATGGACAACAATAAACTGTTATAAAGTCATACAAATTGTTTATTTTTTTTAACAAATAGGATGGCTAAAAAAGTAACAAAAAACAGCTAAAAAACAGCTAGATTCTAAGGCAAATGTAGAAAACTAACAACAGGAACATGTCTGCATTGGACCCTGCCACGAGTCCAACAGATTCTTAAAGTCACTTAGAGAGGTCAAAGGTCGAGAGCTTCAGATCTTTTTACAAGATATTCCAGGAAACAGGAGCGGAGTAGGAGAAGGTCCTTTTGTCTAGTTCAGTCCTCACTGAGGGAACACTGCAGGTAATGATGTCCTGAGAGCGCACGCTGTAGCTGCACTCACACAGAGACATGTAGGAGGAGATGTATGAAGGCAGCAGACCAGGAAGTGATTTAAAGATGAAAATGTACCAGTGGGAGAGTCTGTGTGAAGTTAATGGTGACCAGTTAACCAGTGAATACTGGGAGCAGTGGTGGGTACAATAATCACAGCCAGTTCTGAATCTTAGTGCACCATGATAGACAGCATCCAACATCTGCAGCATCCAACATCTGCAGCATCCAACATCTGCAGCATCCAACATCTGCAGGGTTCTTGTAGGAGCGTTCATGTAAATAATATCACCAAAATCAATGGAGGGAAGGAAAGTCACAGATACAAGGTGTTTCCTAACATTCAGGGTTAGACAGGATCTGTTTCTGAAAAAGAAACCCAGTTTAACTTTCAGTTTCTTTACCAAGTTTTACACATGGAGCTTAAAAGAAAGATGTGAGTCGACCAAGATACACAAATATTTATAGGAATCAACAAACTCAATGGGGACACCATTTGAGGATAAAATCAGAGGAAGAACTGCTGGGACCAACTTCCTATTTGAAAAAAACATCCCTTTGGTTTTGTCGGCATTTAGGACAAGTTTGTGGTGAAACAAATCAGTCTGGATGTAGTTAAATGCAGATTTCAGAAGCTGGAAATCCTTAGCAACAGTTTTAGCTCAACAATAAACAACTGTGTCATCAGCATAGAAATGTATGGATGCATTAGGTATGTTTTTACCTACATTATGTATGTAGATTGTAAAGAGGGTTGGTCCTAAGACTGAGCCTTGTGGTACACCATTGTTGACTGTTAAATAACTGGAGGAAGTACCATTATGTTGAACACATTGCCTCCGGTCTGAAAGATAGTTAGAGAACCAACCAATGGTGTGATCTGAGAAACCAGTTTCTGAGAGTTTATGACACAAGATGTTCTGATCCACAGTGTCAAAAGCTTTAGACAGGTCTAAGAAAAGTGCAGCACAATAATCCTTAGCATCCAGTGCTTCAACAACGTCATTAAGAACCTTCAGTGAAGCAGTGGTTGTGCTGTGTTGTTTCCTGAAACCAGATTGATGTGGAGGTAAGATGTTAAATGAGTCCAGGTCATTTTTGATTTGAGAGTTTATCAGTTTTTCTAGAACCTTGGCTAAAATGCAGAGTTTAGAGATTGGTCCATAGTTGTTCAGTGAGGGGGGGTCTCCTCCCTTCAGCAAAGGAAGAACAAAGGCTGTTTTCAAGTGTCTGGATGGAGTTTTGTCTTATGGAGAGATTGAAGATGTGGGTCACAGGGACTGTGATGATATGAGCAGCCAGCCTTAAGAAATAAGGTGGAAGTTCATCTGGACCTGCAGATTTTTTAGGGTCAAGATTAGGGGTGCACCGATAAATCGGCCGGCCGATCGATCGGCCCCGATTTCCTTAATTTGGGGAGATCGGCGATCGGCCGATCTTTAAATGAGAAGCCGATTTTATCCACCGATCGTAGCTGCCTCCGGAAAGTTCTGAAAATCAGCTGCTGTCCCCTTTTGCTCCACTGTGAGAGCTCACACACAGGTCACTCGGAGCAGCCATGTCGTCGTTTTGGAAGTTCTACGCTGTAAAAGAAAATGAGCCAAAGATCGCAATTTGCAATTCGTGTAAAGCCGAAGTAAGTAGTGGTGGAGCCACCACCAAAACCTTTAATACAACAAACCTCGTTCGCCATTTAAGAAATCACCACGCCGCCAAGTATGCAATGTTTGAAGCGAGCAACCATGCTAAGGCTAATGCTAAAGCTAGCGCTAACAAAGAGGCAGTCGGTGGGTCGCTGTTAGCTTTTATGAGCAACGAAAAGAGCAAAGCTACCACGAGGAAAGTGATGGAGTTCATGGCATTAGACGACCAGCCATTTTCAGTCGTTGAGGACAAAGGTTTTAGAAGCTTGATGCAGCACGTGTGCCCACGATATAATATGCCGAGTCGGAAATATTTTTCTGATGTTGCATTACCGGAGTTGTTCAGCCAAGTTTCGAGAGACACCCGCAGCCTGCTAAAAGCTAATACAAATACACTCAGCTTTACAACAGACATCTGGACTTCTGATGTAAGTTTAATGTCCATGTTAAGTTTTACTGCACAGTGGATTTACGAACAGTTCGAACGTCATCAAGTACTCTTAAACTGTAAAGAAGAGAGAAGAGAGGCAAGCGAGCACAGACCGTGGCGTGGGTACAGCCAAAGCTACGTTGCTGGAGGCTGTTGTGAGAAGATTCAGCAACATTGAGCATGAGCCCCTGTACAGCTTGGCCACTGTTCTGGATCCAAGGCAAGTAACTATTAACATTCTATTTTAGCCATAATTACTTTTAGCCTACTACTATATTTCAACAAACATTTAAATTAAATTAAAAATTTCTTGATTGAAATGCATTTCTTTATTTACATGCAAGTCATAAAAACTGTTAATGTATACAAAACACAATGATTGACCCATCTTTCTTTGTTTATGCAAAACAAGGTACAAGAATCGCTACTTCTCAGCAGAGGTGAAAGATGACGTGAAACTGCTCCTTTTGACCAAACTTGCAGAGGGGGAGACCAGATGCACACCTGCTGCAGGAACATCCTCTGAAGTGGGACCTCCTGATATCGATGAACCTGCAGCCAAAAGGCGTAGTCTACTGTTTGCAGCTCACGACGAAATCTTGAAGGAGAACATTGAACAGGAGCAACAGCTGGCCAGCCCTTCAGCTATGCAGGTACAGAACTACCTATCTGAGGTTCCTGTCGAAAGGAGCCAGGACCCATTGGTCTACTGGAAGATCAATGAAAATCGTTTCCCTCATCTTGCTCTACTTGCCCGAACCTATCTCTCTGCCCCATGCACAAGCGTTGAAAGCGAGCGCCTGTTTAGCTTGGCTGGACATGTAGTAGATGAGAAAAGAAGT